TCACCCCTGCTCCTCGTCCCACCCATTCCCTCACCCCTCCCCATGCCCCACCCATTCCTTCACCCTGCTCCTCGTCCCACCCATTCCCTCACCCTTGCCCCATGGCCCACACATTCCCTCACCCCTGCTCCTCGTCCCACCCATTCCCTCACCCTTGCCTCATGCCCCACCCATTCCCTCACCCCTCCCCATGCCCCACCCATTCCCTCAGCTTGCCCTGTGCCCCACCCATTAATTCACCCCGTCCTCACCATTGAGCCACTTGGAGTTGTACTGCGCGGTGCGGAGAGGAGGCAGAGTTCCCAGGCTGCGGTAGATGGCAGGGTCTCTCCCGGGGAAGTCCATGGCTGTGGCGGCGTACAGCTCGCCGCTGGAGGTGATCAGAGCGGTGGAGTTGTGCAGGGGGTTGTGGGGGCAGCGCGCCATGCCACTGATCTGATCGTGGACTTCCGTCAGGTTGGTCAGCTGCAGCACACGGACAAAAACATCCAACTGTTCCTTATTGGAAGCATTCAAGTTTTTATCATTTACTAGCAATAAACAGTATTTGATGAAATGTGTTTCCAAAGTCTTTATTAACAGATCTAATCAGGTTATCACCATTACTTATTAAGTTTTTTCTTGAAGATCTAATTACATTTTAAGTGAAAGATATATTAATATAGAACAAACTAGGAGATTCATAAACCTTTTCTAAGTATATACTGTAGTTTTACATGTTAAAAAGCTAATGTATTGTATGTACAAATAAGGAATGGATATAAAGACAAATACTGTACGTATTATGTTATACTGACTTCACAGTTCCATATAAACAAGCTGCCTGGCTGAGCAAGATGTGACAAACAGTCTGCACACCTTGACTGAGAGCTTGTTTGTCTCACTGCTCAGCAGCACAGCAGCTGCCCAGTGCTGATACAGAGCAAAATGCCCAGAATGCAACTGACGTCTTTCACATGTGAGTGGGATGGAGAGTTGGAGTTTAGAGTAGTGAAAATACCCGTTGATTTAAAATGTATTTAATACAAATATATATAATATGTTCTGTACACTAGGATTGATATTATATCATTACTCCATCAAAAGTTTACAATCTACCCAACAATAGATTTATATTCCAGCAAGTGTTACAGAGAGCAGTCAGCCTCCTCCAGCACTGTTTGAGTTATTGCCTATTCTGCAGAAAATGTGTGTTAAAAACAAACACATGACGTTGGCAGCCGGTTAAGTCCTAAAGCAGACTAGTATTGATGGAAAAATGTCAGTGTTATGTTTGTGAAGGTATTGTAAATTAATTACGATATTTTCATTCCTACTTCTGGGGTGCTTCGATCCATCCCCATTAAACACCAACTAAGCATACAGCAAATTAGCATTTACACTGAATTAAGTAACTTTTAAAGGTAACGACTCTCACCGTCTGGATCAAGCTGAATATAATGTGCACTTCCATTCGAGGGAACTGTGAACAAAGCCTACATTCATTGAACTGTCTCTTTAGATAAATGCTTAATTTCTCCTGGGGTTGCAGCCCAACACCTTCCATGAATATTAAACAAAGATAAAACTTAAAAGACGTCCCTTCAGGCATCAAACAGCTGTACCTGTGTGGCACTTTGAATGACATTCCTGCATTCATGCCCTTTTATTTAAGGACCTTGCTTTATTACTCACTACATCAAGATACACAAGGCTACATTATTTACTGCACGTTTATTAAGGCTATCTGTATTCTTCCTCACTGTTATTAATGTTGTGTGACTACATGGAACCCCTGAAAACATGACTGTCAGCTCTTTGGGAGTTTTCATTGAAATCAATAATTAACGTCAGTCTTTGACAGGTTATGTTCTTCAGAGAAGCCACACAGGGAGAATCTCAAGTAAGAAAAAGTTTTGCCGTTTGTGCCTGACCTCTTAATTATTTAATTACTATAGTACAGAGTAGACCTTCCTTACATCATTGCTGATTTACATCACAAAAGTAAACCCTTGTCTTCCATAACTTTCTAACAAAAACTGAAAATAACTCAAGGATTATGATATGGAAACCTGTGGACTATATAACAATTTATTTGTGTGGAAAAAAACCCATGCATATCATGCTACATGAAGATAAATCACACTTTCTTTTCATTGTTTTGTATGCATTTTTCAATGGAAGAAGCACAACTGACTGATGTTCATATTTATGTGCAAGAAAGTTTACTTAAATCACTCTAACAAGTGCTGGATGCTGTTGCTTATCTTAAGCTGCTGCCAAAACCATTCAGATGTAAATATCAAAGCGCCGGGTAGTAACTCTTGAAACTATCAATCACTCATGTTTGTCACATCTGTTCTGAACGAAAGACACTGTGTTATTACACCTGCACTCCCCAGCCGCCCCACAGATCTCAACAAAAGGCCTCTGCACTTTGTTTCGTGGAGGAAAGCACATTGTACTGCTAATGGGCCTTATCCCTCCTTGCCAGGGAGAGGCGAGAGGGAAGCAAACTGGTTTTCATTACCGTGCGATTGGTGCAAATGGGAGTGAATGCGTTCGTTCCACAGGTGAAGAGCCAGCCTCCATTAACCAGAAGCACACGGACGTAATTCTGGCACTCGTCCTGCAACACAGCAGCAGCCTCCACGTCAGGCACAGCAGGGAGAGAGACTTCACAGTCGATACCAATCACAGAGAGACGAGCGTCTGCGAGCAAGCTGAGCCAAAGGCTATTTTATCACCAGCTTTAAAAGTAAAGTGCAATTATTTTTTATGTGTGGCTTCATAAAGACCTGCAACATTTTGACCTATAGATAATAACAAAAAAATCATTACTTTGAAGAGATGCATACAGATGGTTGACTTTTAACATTTATTTTTACAAAGGGTTTGTGAGTTGCTTACTTTGTCGCGTGAGTGAGAGGGTGTGAGTAGACCGACAACGTATACAGACAGACAGCTTGAGTCTGTAACATGTAGAGAAGAGAAACGCTGCAGCCTGTCAGGCTGACAGCCAGGCACAGATGTTCACATTCATGGGGAGGGAAAGGACAGCAGTGGTAGCAGACCTGGACACCACGTGGACATTCAGGACTCTTCCCAAGCTGTTCTCCTCAATGTGCCTCACAGGGCTCTGATACTCACCTCAATGTCTGCTGCATGAATACTTCTTCAACACACTGTATTCTTTAAGGTTTTATACCGTGACCCAGGTATTGAATGGGTTCTGTAATTCCAACACATACAGGAAAATACACACAGTGTGATCACGTCCTTTTTTTTAAAACCAATTTCCTTTGCACATACTATACTGTACCTTTTCCTAGATTCTTCTAAGACATTCCCCAATTAGTTACTTTGTTGAATTATAGCAATACTTTACCTTCGCCCTTCTGAGCTATTCAGACACTCTACAGAAACTTAATCATATGGTGCTGTTCTCAGACTATTATTACCTCCCGAGTTTGCTTTTCAGGTCTATCAGCAGCAGTAAACCTGGCTGCCTTACCAAGTGTATAAGCACAAGAGAACAGCTTTGAGAACTGATTGTGCCTCCCTCCAGCCTATGTAGTGTGGATGTAGTACAGTTACGGGGCTGCAGCACACAGTTTGTGCTTTATATTGTCATTAAATTTGATTCTGATTCATACTGATAAGAGATACAACAATTCTCTGCCACATACTAAGCAGCTGAAAAAGTCTGAAAGGCTCTAAAAAAACATCAGCCCCCAGTATACAGCATACTGTACATACACTGGCATATAGTGTGCTTTGAACAGGAGTTTGACATGCTCAGGAAAAGCCAAAAATAGACTCTACAGATCCTCGGTGCAGTGCACAGGTTCTTCTGTATTGTCTACAGTCATGAAATACAAGCTACTGGATGTCTTATATTTTCACATTTTTAAGTTCACATTCAAAATGACTTATTGGGAGTGAAGACTGTAACCATTTTTCTGTGAGGGGTACATTCCTTATCATCTCATAAAATATGGGAAGATATAGTAGATGGTGAGTTAGAATCAAGATTGTATTATATTGAAAACTGTTAAAGTGGACCAAATTAAGCCATTAATTAAGCTTAGGTCATTAAGAGCTGAGTTAGAATGAATGCGTTCCAACATGTTGGCCCTCCAGGACCAGGACTGGACACATGTCAGAGTTTCTCTTGAGGACTGGGTAAAAGTGTGTTTCACAAGTCATGAAGAGTTCCAGGCACTCCTGGAGCCTGTTGAGAAGAAAGAGGACTGAGCACGTACCTCAGACTTCCCTTTACTGAAGCATGCCCTCTTCGTAAACTCATCGCACTGCCACTCAGCCCCCTGATGGAGAAAGATCAAAGAATGTAAAAATCACATATCCGAGAACCAGTTGAGAACATAGCATTTGTAACATTACTGCACGACTCATGTACGGTATGCGTTGCCATCAATATTAACATGAGATTCATAAATAAAAAGTCTAAAACAAAAATAATTTATTGTGACGATATTAAATTAAGATTATTAATCGTGTTATACTTTTATGATGAAATTTTTACACTTAATATACTGTGACTAAAATACTAATTTTTCAAAGCGGCTAACAGGATCAACAACATCAAAATCAACTTGCTTAATTACTGAGATGAATGTCTGGAGCTGAAAGATAAGGAAGTGAATTGCAGAAGTCATTTCCCTGCCACTGAGTCATGATATGTATTCATTTTTAAAGCAAAGGATCAAATTGCCTTTTATCTGTTGGGAAATTTGAGGAAACTAATGAAGGACTGTTATTGACTGGATAGTGCCTTCCAGAGGTCAGCAGCTCTTTCTGCTAAAACACAGCTCATTTCACTGCAGTTCAGAATACTTGTTTTGGTCCTGTTAGTTCCTTTTTCTCTTACCATTGTTCTGTTTTATGGTAGTGCGCTACCAAGTTTAAACGATGGCTGGTTACATTTAACTTTTATCCTGCTTTTCCCTGTTAGATAATGTATATGATTGTTTAACTAGATTTTCTTCATCTGATATATACATTATATCAGTTCCTGTGATTTATCCACTCCATTTCACTGAAGTTTTTTTTGGGGGGTTCAGCCATCTCCTTATTGTCTAATTATTATTTAATTCAATTCCATAAAGGAAGCAAAAAATGTCATTGGACTGATTCAATTGTTCCACAATTGACAACTTTGGGTTTTAAAACAGAAATTGTGCTACAGTATATAAAATGTACACAACTTTAAGTACAGGTAAACTGAAACATTACAGTGTACAGTATGTGCCTTCCACTTCTTTTACCCTTAAAAGGACGCTTTTCATATTTTAATTGGTTAGCTTACTAATATCCTTTTATGTGTCTTGTCTGAATGTTAATGAAGTGAAGATATAAGATGATATAAAATAAATCACTGATGAAGGACACTCTGTTCAAGAAGACTGCTGGCACAGGAACTTGACTGAGCAGTGTCAGCAAAGCAGCATCCACGCTGTCTGAGCTCACCAGCAGGGAAACAGGGACACGCAGAACTGTACTACATGCAGCAGTGTGCTGGGTCTGGAGTCACTGACCTCCAGACATTAGAAACATCTAAACTGGAAACCAATACAGGGAGAACTAAACTCTACTTTAAATAAAGTATGTGATGAGACCAAGATAATAAAGTGTGTTTGGGAAGCAGCAATTACTTCATCTCCTAGCTTTATGGAGGTACTCATATTAGAGTAGTTCAAGTAGGTAGCTGCATCAGCATGCCTAGGCTGCAAAGGAACAAGTACAGGTTTATTTCTGCTAAAAAGACAAGAAAAGAAATACAACATTCACACAAAGCATTTTATACAAGATCAGCTAAAGAATACTGTGTTAATAAAAGTGGTTTTGTTTGCAGGTTCCTTAATCGCGAAACCATCATTTGATACCTGAAGAAGGCCACACAACCGATACTTTGTGTTTCTTTTCTTCTCTTTTCAGCATCTAATAAACCTTTACTTGTTCCTCATATTAGAGTAGACAGAAGACCTACAGTAATTTCTCCGCTGCCCTTGTTCTGTACCTTGGTGATTGAATTAATCTGTAAGCACTTGCAATCTGCAATCCATACCCAGCCTCATTTACATAAACTCTGCTGCTGCATGGGTCTAAATATGTATTCAAAATTAAAATTACAGCACAGTACAATTACAAGAGTTGAAATACCTAATGGAAAATTCAACCAAATTACAGCAAAAATATGAGCCTCGTTCATGCTTTCACATCTGGAGCACAGTAATCTTTCATTTATAACAGGGTAAGTCAGTTCAGAACAAATTCTTATTTGCAATAATGACCTAGACAAGAGCCTCACACACATTTGACAAAACAGTGAAAGAAAGAAAAGGACGATCAATAAAATGTAAATATAATAACAGAACATTACAGGACAGGGCAGTGTAAACAACTGCAAGTGTCAGGCAGTAAAGGTCTAATCATGTAACTGAAAGTGCTCAGATACAAAGGTGGATAGTTTCAGATCTCTCTGCAGAATGTTCAAGTCATTAGCAGCAACAAATAGAAAAGATTTGTGCTGAAGGTCTACAGTCTTTTAGTCTATCCTAGTTCCTCTTGGAATGTTCAATTTGTTCAAAGTGATACACCTTAAATGGTAAAATGGCAGAGAGAACTGAAAGGGGTTATGATGAAAGGGGAGTGTTTTCATAATTAAAGATCTGTATATCAATGGAAACCATTGAGATTGTATTGTATTCTAGAAAACAAAGAGGACCAATCAATAAGAGAGTGGAGATTACTGTATGAGTATGTTAAAGGGGACCAGTGATGAATCTTATGACAGAATGGTAGAAGACATCAAGTTTTATAGAGGTCATTCTGTACACAACATCACCATACATCACTATAGCCCACGATGGAGAGCAGGACACTAGTCTATGTCTATAGGAACATGTAAAACATGGCTTGTTCTGGTAAAGGAATCCAGGTTTATATGTCACTTCAGGTTGTAGTCTATTAACAGAGATTATGAATTTTTAGGTACCACGTTTGGACATTTATAAACAGTGACATGCTTCAGGTTGATGAAAATCTTTAGTAATTATCAGTAAGGGAGCAGTTTTGCTGAACTTTGTTGAAAATAAAACAGAAATCAGTCATTGCTCATGATAACATGTGTTCCACTGACTACAAGATGGTGTCATCAGCACATCCCTGTTGCCCGCGGAAACATCAGGACCCAGGACAGAACCTTGTGTCACTCCCTTTGTAGCTGGAAGAAATTCTAACACAAATCTTTGAGATCTTACATATAGATTTACTAAGTAATTCTGGAATGATTCATGAGAATTTATAACAAGACCAAAACTACTTTTTTAGAAGACCCAAGTAATCCACAGCTTTAAAGGTGTTAGATAAATCTGAAAAGATAGCTCCTCAAGTGTGCTTTTTGTTGTTAGCCATTGTAATATAACAGAGCTTTTAAGGATGCTGTAATACTCAAACCTCAAAATGAAAACCAGACTGCGTATCAGATGAAATAGAATTGCTGTCTAAAAAAGCTGAACTGCTTGTTATTTTTGCAGTTGGAGTCTGACTTATCACCCCTCTGAAAAGAGGGAGAACAAGAGCGGACTTCCAGTCTGCTGGGAATTCAGCTGTTTAAAAGACAGATTGAATAAGTGGGTCAGTGGTGCAGATATTAAATGAGCAGCAAGTTGTAGAAAAAATGCTTCAATGGCATTGTAACCAGTGGATATAGTAGTATTTTTAAATCATACAGATGTTCGGGATAATGAAATATGAGTATTACAGAGAAATGAGGTCAGACGACCATGACAGAGTTTTTTTTTAATGTGTCAGAGTACTTTTAGCAGCAAGAAACTGACAAGATCGGATCTGCTAAAGTGAGAAATGAGAAAAGGAGTGCAGAGCCAGGCATTGCCCACAGGCTACCACTGGTCTACAGCCTCAGTACAAGGCATTTACAGTAAATGTTTTCTCCCAGAGAAAAGTACTTTTACTGCCTGAGAACAATGAAGAGTAGGAAAGGAAATGTAATTACTGATGTGAGCCTTATATGCTCATAACATTGGAGACCCTTACAGACGCAGTTCAACAGAAACCCTTCAACATGACAAAAGAATCTAAAAAGAGTACAAAACAGATGAGACCAGTTCAGCCCATGCAGCAAATTTAGGCTCTAGAAGTTAATTTATTCCAGAACTTCACAGAACCCAGGTGTCAGTTTTGACATCATGGCTTGGCAGGTTGTTCCATAGGGCTGCAACCCATTGTTTTTAAAAATGAGCATTGTGGTCTCAGGTCTAAATGCACATATTCATATACAGTAACTGAAACTGAAATATATACTACAGTCAGAAAGATCCTTTGACTTATTGACTTTTCAAGAAAACTGCAAAATGTAATATGCCTAATGGTCAGATCAAGAAGAGTTTAATTCAGTTTAATTTTTTAGTAGTTTTCCAAGAAAAATATTGCAGTCATTCTTTCACAAGAACGTGCCCAAGAATTCAGACCACTGTCTTACTCCCTTAAAGCCTGATCTCATCAGATCTCACAAGCTGAACAACGCTTTAATAAGGAAACCCGGGTGCTGCTGCAAGTGGTGTTGGGGAACCAGTAGGTGGCGCTCTTTCCTGGGGGCCATTTTCCAGACCATTGCCCCATTATGGTAGCTGGAGACTCTGTGCTGTAGGAGGTTCTGCCCTTCAGACCTTCAGAAAAGATATGAAACTGAGGTCCTCACTTCTGGGTCATGAGGAAGAGTGTTAACCCTGTTAAATTCCACTTGGGGGCTGGCCCGACCCGTGAAGTAATCCTCTGAACCTGCTGCTGGACCAGAACATCTGCTGTGCATCACGCAGGTGGGACTGCACCTCAGGACTGGATTCCTTCTTGGGCCTAATGTGCTTTTGGATTCTTGTGGATGAAAAATACTAAATAAATATGAAGAATTGCTATTATAAATTATTACATAATAAATATTATCCCCCTGCTTTTATTGCTTGTATAGATTTTGCTGTTGGTGTCATGATGTTAAATTATAGATTTATCACTTTAACATCACTTTAACTGCAGAACAAAGATATTTCATAACCACAAATAAACACCAATTAATTAAAAATAAGGTCACACTATGCACTGTGAATATGATAAAATCATAATGTAGGATGTAATGTAATTCTGTGCTTATCTTAGAATGTGAAAGTTTCAGTGTGAGTTGTTTAGCAGTTTAAAAACTAACCGAGTCAAATGAGGTGAAATTAATTGGGGAAAAAAACATATTTGCAGTTCTGATTTTCCATACCAGGCTGGCTGATAAGTTTTTTTG